GTGTGAATGAGGCCAGTTACCTGCTTCGCCAGGTCATTAATTTGCTTGGGTTGTTAGGCCCGATTGCCTTTGTGGGTTTTTTTTTTTTTCTTTTTAACTGGAAGAAGGAGGAAAGGCTTATGCTTGGGCCCCAGGATGCTGAAGAGAAAGACAGGAGGACGGAGGGGAGTGCATGGTGCCCTTCTCCCGCCTGGCTGAGGGGCTGGAGCTACAGGGAGGGGGAGAAGAACAGAAGTTGAAGGGGGCCCCACAGACATGGGGTACGCCCCGAGGGTCTCAAGGCTCAGGTGATGAAATAAGGGGCAGAGGGAAGGAGACCTGTTTCCCCACGCTCCTCTGGAGACCAGAGAAGGAGAGAGACTGGAAGGAATGAGTTTTTACAAGGGCATCTCTGAGCAGAGGAGGGATGACTTCTCAAGGGCACTCGGGGTATCTTATCTCCAGGTGGAGAACGAGACTAAAGGTCACCCACAGAGGGGTAGCTGAGACTTTTATGGGAACCCTTGGGGACCATGGGAATAACTGGGGGACAATCTGAGGGCAAACTTAGGACTTGGATGAGCAGGTTAACAAGCTGGCAAAACTCAGGTATTTTTGGTCATTATTTTGTATCCCGGGCTGGGGAGACCATGACTGTTTCTGTTCTAGGAACACAGAAAGGAGCCAGGAATCTATGAGAGAGGCTGGGTGCATGGGGCAGGGAAATCTGCAATAAGGAGGACATTGTGAACTGAGCTTTGAAGGATGAGTAGCAGCTGGATAGGCTGACGTGGGTCGGTGAGCATTTCAAACAGACAGCATTCTCTTTTGAGCTTCTCCCTTGAACCTTCCTATCTTTTGTCCAATGTCCAGTATCAACCCAATGCTGCCCTGTGCCTTCTAGATACGCAGCGGGGAACAGTGTAGCCTTTGGGGTCTCTCTCCAGCCAAGTCTTCCTGCAGGTGTGCCCCGGAAGTCCAGTGTAGACTGCTGAACCCATGATTGCCCACTTGGCCCTAAGTGGAGCTGGGGATTGGCCTCGAATGCTGGAACAGGGAGGAGGAAGCCTCCTGCGTCCTTGTCTGTGATTGTATTGCATATTTACATATGCACATCCAAGGGAGACAGATTCTTATTAAAAAACACGCGTTCTCTGGAGGGCCCCTTGTTCTCCTTCTGCTGCCTGCCGGCATCATGGCTGGACTGCTGGGCGTGCATGGCAGAGGACAGCTGGATTCCCAAGAGGAGCAGGGTCGGGCAGAAGATGAGAGGAGCTAAAATGAATGGAGCAGCAGTGGGTGGGGGGGGGGGGGGCAGAGAAACACTTTAAGGACCCCCACCCTCCACGCTCCCGGCCAGGCTTGAGGTGGCTCTCCTGTGGAACCTTTAAGTGCAAGGGAGTGACAATGGCAGGTCACGTTGATCTGTCTGCTGCTAACAGGAGAGGGGATGATTATTTTTGACTAAAGGTGTCAGGAATCACAAGAATCGAACAGACCATCCAGTATGAAGCATCAGGCTTGGGAACGTGAGCCACCCCTTCCATTCACCTTTGTTCCTGCAGGTGGGGACCAGTCTGTTCCCTAGCAGGACTTGGGACACACTCACACTTTCGGGGAGTACATCTTACCTTTTCTGCCACAAAATGCAGCCTTCTTTACGTATACTCCAGGGGAGCTGGCGAGCATCTGCAAAAATTAGATGTTGTCTTTCCTGTCAATCCTCTGATTGCCTGGGTTTCGGGGGGAGATAGAGTTAAGGAAGCAAGTGTAGACCATAGTGATTGAGTGATCTCTCACACAGGACTGCGCAGAAATAAACAAGTGGCAGGGAGTGAAAAGACTCCGTTTTTCTAAAGCAAAACGACAACCGTCTCTATGTGTTGCTCTGCTGGTCAGGCAGGGAATGGCTCTGCCATGTAATTAAAAAGATATAACCATTTCCTCTTCAGTTAGCATCCTTCCTGCTGTTGCTGCACCTGTTCAGGGGATCCCGGGGGCTTTCCATCCCTGTACTCAGGATCCCGCAGATCTGAGCTGTGGACGACGCCTATTTCCCCCACCTTGGGTTCATATCCATTTGCTTGATGTGTGGAGGAATTAGAGAGTGCCGTGTCGATGTGCAGGGCCAACAGCAGCTCATTAAGCTTGCCAAGAATCGGACGCTCCGTGCAGATTAATTATGGGCTCTCCCTTTTATGTGCTCTGTCATTTGGCAGACATCTCTGTTGCTCTGAGAAGTTAATAAAAATAATTAAAGCCAACGAATCCTCTGTTTGGGGTCCACCCCAGCAGGTGTCCTGCTCCCCACCACCCGGGTACACTTCACGGAGTGAACCCAGGAAGAAGCAAAGGACGAAAGGAGACAGTGGGGGAGTGGGGACCAGGGGCCGGGACTCCGTGTGGGCAAAGGGTGTCCCTCCCCATCCCAGCCGGGGCACTTGCGACTCTCCTGCCCCAAACGTCAGCAGAGGCTTGAATGTGTTTTTATTAACTGGTATGGAGAATTCAGTGGGAGAAGTAATTCCCACAAACCCTGCTGCACTGAATTCAAATTGATTTCTTTCTGCTGTGCTACTGTTTAATTACCTAGCGCAGACTCCAGCACGTGCAGAAGTGAAAGATGTACATTTTCGGGATAGCAGGATTTGAACCACTCTAAACTAACCAAGATCGGTGATGCCATATTTGGGGCTGGCTGGTAGCATGGGTAGCACTTTTTTTTTTTTTGGTAGAACAGGCAGTCTTGTCCACACAGGTTTATTATTTAAATGCCTGAAAAAACTGTTAAAAATGGTAGTTAGATTCCTAGTCTAGCCCACAAAAGCTAGTTTAACCCACACAATGCCGCACTCCAGAGCTGGTTCGTTGGTCTCTTGGAAACACATTCCACATCACTTGTCTTGCACTGGTGGCAGCCTCTGAATTCTGAGGAGGGTGGCACAGCTTGTTTGTCCCTGCTGGTCTGGCACACATTCTAGATGAAAACGAATTGAATGGATCAAATATAGTCCACACGCTTTCATTCATTCTTCTTGGAACATAGCCCCGGAGCCAACCACAGTTCTAGGAGATGAGGATACTAAGATGAATAAACCAGGATTCCTGCCTTGAAGGAGCCCAGAGTTTAGTGAAAAAGGTAGGTGAGTAAAATCAGCCATTCCAAGGCTGCGTGAACTTTCTGTGCTCAGGGTCTGCTCAAGCTGCTTTGGGAACACGAAGCAGATCATGTCTGCAGAGATGCTCCTGGTCGGAGAGAAGAAACCGAAGTAGAGAGTAGGCAGTGATACTCAACAGCATTCTGTAATGGGGGAAGCTAATAAAATAATAATTTAAGAAATTGGGAGTTTGCACAACACTTAACATACATTTAAACTGATTTGATGCTCTCAATGTCTACGAAAGACAGAGTGTGTGTTTATCATCACTCAATTTGTGCAGCACACATTAATTGAATGCCACCATGTGCCGGGCACTGTGGGAGGCTCTGGGGAAAGCAGTGAACGAAACCAGCTGCCCACATGCAGCTTACTTTCTGGCAGGAGGCCAAGTCATCCTCACCGTGACTTACTCCTGGTCAGGCAGCTAGTTAGTAAGGCAAGAGTTAGTACCATGTCTTCTGTGCTACTGGCTTCTCCATCTTGATGTAAATCGAGATTTACAGCCACCAAACTGAGGACACGTTTTTCTGACACCTTCCCCAGCATCCCCCAAATAACTTTGATTGTTCTATTTATACCAACATCAACACCAAGGAAGAGGTATTGTCACTAGGTATGTCGTAATGGCAGATTTTCAGCAGTGCTTAGCCTAGGGAAGATTTCAGGTCCCAGAACACTGATTTAGATGAGTGGAAGAGGTGGGGGGAAATAAGCCATGATGGAGAAAAGGGACTATTTCACCTATACCCTACTTAGAGTGAAGGCCTGGAAGTGGCTACCTTAACCAGTCTGCAACATGTCTTATAGCTCATTCCATCTACGACTGTTGTCTCATATTTTTAATAATTAAAGAAATTTTCGAGATACATGAAATCATTTTTATTTGGGGGGTTGATATGTAAGTGAAGTTGGGCCGATGGGGGTACTCTGCCTTTTTTGGAGCCCCTTGCCAAGCGGTACACTGAGAAATGGTCAGCAACTGGCTCTCCAGAAAAAAGTATGCAAATATATGTGCACATGAATTTATTAAATGACTTACTGATATAAAGGATGCATAGTGTACAATTTACAAATAACTATAAAATATACAATACTCTTTATTGTAAATGCCGCATAGCCAATTGTTATTAACAGAATGCTTTTGTTGATTTCTGCAGGACTCTTGTATCCATCATCCACCTACACTTGCAATGAGATCACGATTTGACAAAAGCAGACTATGAATAAATGTTTCATTACTATCCAGTTCAGCAAAGTTGACAAATGAGTATAGTTTAAACATGAATATTGGTGGATGTTTTGTTTACTTTGACTAAGACAAAAGGGGAAAAACGAAGGCATGTGTAGGAACCTCATTCATTCGTCAATATGTGACTTCTGCACTGAAACGGGTCATGGTCTTTGAACACTAGAAGAATATGTCCTCAATGTTTTTTTGTCATTCACAATCTGGCAGCTACAGATACGACACACTTTTATGTTTAATCCACATCATTAACATTTTCTCCATCATTTTCTTCAGTCTAGACGAGCAACAAAAAAATAAATCAAGCCCTGAGTTGTCGTGTTTGCCAATTTCTATGGCGTATATGCTCCTACCATGGCTGATTTCATGCTACCAACATGTCATCACTGAACACAGAGATGCAGTAGCATGTCGTTATGGAGCATTTCCACAATACAGGCACAAGAGTAGAAAATAACCTTGAGAGCATAGATAATAGCAAAATGTAGTAAAATAATTGGGAAGGGATGAATTTTGAGTGTTTCTTCTATTTATTTTTAATATAATTTAACTGTAAATTTATATAATTTACTTTTTAATAATGGCTTTATTTAACAATTGGCTTGTGAAACTCCTGAGAATTTAACAGTTGGCTCTCAAAAGCTGGCAAAAACTGCCTCCAGCCCACCACCTGCCCGTATCACTTCCACTTAGGTGGGAAAGATGAGCTTCTTATCATAAATGCTATGACACTTGGCTGCTACAGTGAAACATATAAACAGGTGTCAGTACGTGTCTGTTTAATGAATGAAGATGTTTAGAAGGTGTAGGGCCTGGGCGTTGCTTGCTCAGCAGAAACCCCCAGGCCCATTGTAACCATGTGTCCTTCTGGCTCCCTTCTGGGCAGGCCGCCCAGCTACTGGGATTTGCAACGATCTGGGCCTGGCCAGCCCCCATTCCCCCTTATCCCACGAGAAGAACATCCTGTCTTACGGGGACACAGAGCTCCTCCATGTGAGCTACTGTTCCTGGAACGCTAGTCGTACCAAGGACAGCCCTTTGGCAGGCATGCAGCCTTCCTTCCTCTGCCTGCTTAAGCAAGCTTCTCTTAGGGGGCTGTTGCGGGCGTATGCATACTTCCATCCAGCCGGCTGCCCACTGGACACTCTCCCTACAAGTAAGTCCCAGTAATCCTATATGTCTGGTTGGCAGGCTCCGGGCTGTTTCTTTGGTCTCTTGGCAGGATACTCTGCTGCCCTAGCCCAGCTGGGCTTGCGGCCATACAGAAGGATGTCTATGTGCTATAATCCAAGTGCATTCTGGGCGTTTCACAAGATCATACAACCAAATGGAGACTAACTACATCTGAAGCGGCAAATCCCATCCTCCCTGCCGTCAGTCCCTTTCTCTGCTGCAGAGTGACTGTCTACCCTTCCTTGGAAGGCATGGCCTGCATTCTGCAACTACGTCGCTGTGATTTGATCCTACCTTCTTCCGTTTGGAAGAATACCCCATAAGAAAGCTAATTTTAAAATACCAGCAGTTAGGTCCCCGGGTGAAATGTCTTCTCAGATGAGCCCCTGCTAATTGGCTAGTATGGGTCTGGGCTTCGGGGACTTGTCTCGCCAGCTGCTGCAGGTTGTTTACACCGGGAGACTCGCCTTTCTCCGGCAATTAATTAGGGGCGGGGCCTTCCAAGTCTGACGCTTTATTCACAAAGGCCAAACAACTCCCCCGCCCCCACACCCGCTCCCCTCTGAGATACTGTTCTTCTCTGAGTGATCTGTTTGTGGGTTCAGGGAGGTGGCAACAGAAGGAAGCCTAGAGCTGTACTCAGGTCTTGCTCTGCAAGCACAGAAGAAGGCAGCCATCCATCAGAAGAAGCGCGGGGACACGCTGCACGAGACCATCCCTTTGGTATTCATTCATCTTCATTTATTCTCACTCCCTCACACATCTAATTAATACGTATCGCGTGCCTGCCTGGAATCTGAGCAGTGAGAGTTTTCAAATAATTAAAAATCTTCATTGACTTTTTCTTACTGAAGCAAAGTGTATTTATCATAGAAGACAATAAGAAAATACAGATAAGTGGAAACAAAACATCCATAATGCACTCTCTCAAAGATGTTCATTGTTGTCTTCCAGGCTCTTTAGTGCATATGTAACACGTGTTTGCAAAACTGGGATCATATTTAACATAATGCTTTTTTACTTAAAATTATACCGTGAAGAAAATTTTTCGTTTTAATAAGGCTTTGGCATTGGTCCTGGCGTGGGGGAGAGGGGGCGGTGCAAAATGTCCCTTTAGACGCATTGCATTGGAGGGAGATAAAATTACCCCCTGTGGAAATGCAGGACTGGAATAGAAGAAACCAAATGACTGGTGCAAGCCCTTCCTTCTAGAATGTTCTATTCCTGATATAAGGGAATCCGAGGTCTTGGAATCTTGTCACTGTTTTTTTAGAGTCATTTGAATTAGAATCTTTAATTTTGGAAATTGGGCTATTGTTAATAAATGCATAGTTCTGTAATTATTTCCTTAGTGGTAAAAATACTTTTTAAATTGTGAATTTATGTTATATGTGCTAAGAAGAAATGCAGAAAGAACTTTAGTGTATACTTTGCCTCCAGATTAAAGGAAGCAGCTTTCTTCTGGGACCCAGAGTGGGGTAGCCAAGACCAGACTCTTCTACCCGAACAACTCTTCCCTCTAATGTTGGAGGCGTGTAGTTACAGGCATCTCCTTTTGTCCCTGGGCAAGTGCCTGAGATGCTAAGATTTGGCTCTGAGCCCAACCACGTGTAAATATAATAAAAGAGGGGATAGGTGAGCAAAATGGATGAAGGGGGTCAAAAGGTACAAACTTCCAGTTATAAAATAACTAAGTGATGGAGATGTCATGTACAGCATGGTGACTATAGTTAATAATACTGTATTGCATGTTTGAAAGTTGCTAAGAATGTAAATGTTAAACTTTTTCATCAAAAGAAAAATAAATTGTAACTACGGTGATAGATGTTAACTAGACTTATTGTAGTTATCATTTCACAATATATACAAATACCAAATCATTGTGTTGTACACCCTAGCTAATATAATGTTATATGCCCATTATATCTCGATTTAAAAAAGGTAAGAAGAGAAAAGAAGGAAGGCAGCCTGTGGTGGATGTGGCGTGGGAAAGCGAGCAGGACGGGGGGCTGGAGAGAACGGATGGATGGAATCCGCATCCGCAGGGCACCTGCCGCCCCCCCCCTTTTCTCCACTCACTCCCGTTCCCTGATGATCACATCCCACACTCTCCATTGGCTTCAGCCCAGACCTCTCTCTTCTGAGCTCCAGACACTCATGGCCAACTTCTTACTGGACAGTTCTACCTGATGTCCTGCCATCGTCCTTCACACTTGGCGTGTCTAAAACTGAAAGACTAAGAGTAAACTCCTTGTTTCCCTGTGTCCCTACTTCCATTCCTGCTCTTCTTCCCGTGTTCCTGGGAACGGTGTCTCCACCCCTCCAACCTGTTGGATCCGTCTCCTTACTATCTCCACTGTCTCCCCATTTTCTTCCCCACTGCCAGTGGCTTGGTTCAGGCCCTCATTATTGTTCACCTGCATTGCCACAATACCCTCCTTTGTGACCAGATGTCCCTGCGCCCAGTCCTGCCCCTGTCAACCATCCTTGGCACAGTGATCTTGCTACAGCCCTGCTGTTGGGGGTGTGACTCCTGGACCGGCAGCACCCGCATCACCTGGGAGCTTGTTAGAAATGCAGAATCTCGGGACCCAGATTCTCTGCCAGTGAGGATCCATCTGAAGACAGAAACACCGATAATTTGAACAATTCGATTCCCTTTATATGACATACATGCTGTATGTAACTTTTTGAGACTTGAGTTTTCTGCTCAGTATAACACCTTTGTGATTCATTCATGTTGTTTCCTGAGTAGGTTTCCATTGTATGGATCCATACAATTTATTTGTCCATTTACTCATTTGTTATATTAAAATTGCTTTATTCAAGTATAGTCTTAATGGACTGTATGTAAATTTAAAAAATAATTAATAAACAAACAGTAATGAGTTATAAACTATTGGAAACCATGAATTCATGTTGATATAAGCAAGTAAACTCGAAGTGTCTTCCCCAAAACACTGTCTACAAAGGAAGAAAGATTAACTTGATGGTGGAGAAGCCAGGCTGACCCACCTTAATGGAGTGATCAAAGATAACACCATCAGCGATGGACGAAGCTCAATCATTTACCATTTGACGAGATGCAGATAGTGTGCAGAGCACAGATAGACCCATTTCCTGGGCGAGCAGTGTTTGCAGTTACTCAGGACCCCATGCTTGGTTTCATGCTCTGGTTTCATGCACCATCTTGAAATTGTTAATAGTTTTTTGACAAGGGGTCCACATTTTCATTTTTCACTGAGCCCTGCAAATAATGTAGCTGATCCTGAACACAGCATCACTTCTGTGATGTTCCTGCCAAAGACGTATAACCTGAATTTGATCACGATGAAACACCAGACAAAACCAAATCGACGGGCATTGTATAAATTAATCAGTTGCCTGTACTCTTCAAAAGTGTCAATGTCCTGAAAGTCACTGAAAGACCAGGGAGCTGTTTCATGTTGAAGGAGCCTAAAGACTCATGACAAGTAACTGCAAGGCAGGAAGGATTCTCTACAGGGTCCTTTGGCTGTAAAGGATGTCATTGGGACAGCTGGTGAAACTTGAGTGGGGCCTGAGGATTAAATAGCTGTAATGTACCACTGTTAATCTCCTCATCCTGATGGCTGTGTTGTGGTTGTGTAGGAGAGTGTTCTTGTTGTAGGATCTCCAAACCTGAATATTTGAGGGGGATGGGGCATCATGTTGGCAACTTACTCTCAACTAGTTCAGGAAAAGAGGTTCTTCATATTCTTTTTACAACTTGTCATTAAGTTTGAGATTGTTTCAGACAAGAATGAGTGAGAGGTAGGGGATAGAGTTGGGAAGAAGGAGGACTTCTCTAATAAGGTGACCAGAGACCTGAATGAAGTGAGACAGCAAGCCACAGGGTGTCTGGAGGAAGAGCAATCCAGGCAGAGGGAACAGAATGTGCAAAGGCTTTGAGGTGGAGCATGCCTGGGGTATTTAAGAAACAGCTAGGAGGCCAGTGAGGTTACTGCAGAGTGATGGAGCAGGAGAGTGATGAGGTCAGAGAGGCAATGGGACCAAATCCAAGTCCAGATAAGGATTTGGGGTTGTGTTCTCTGTGCTGGGGACACACTGGAGAGTTTGCAGAGGAGTGGCATGAACCACTTATGTTTTACAAGGGTCACTCTGGCTGCTGTGTGGAAAATACACTATAGAGTAACTAGATTGGCAGCGTGGAGACCAGTTAGGGGACTATGGGAATAAATCATGCTCTGAGGGGTATTTGGCCTGTGGGAACTTCCAGGAAGTCTTCAAAGAGCCCCGACTGGCCCCCAAGCACGGAGCCCGGGGATCCTTCATCCTCAGCAGCAGTCCCGTCATCTGATGGCTCCTGTCTTTCGTGCCCGTCTTCCCTTGGAGGCCTGCCAAGAGGCATCGGGCGCAGAAGCTGCTCACCAAAGGGCAGCTCTGATCATGACTTGCCAGGAAGGTCGAGAAGCCAGCTGGTTGCATTTTTCATCTAATTTTTCTATTACTTGGCACAGGTGCTTAAGTGTCCTTTGAAATTAATTTATCATAGAACCAAAGACAAGCTCAGGGAGAAAGATTGTTAACTGTCAGATCGCGTCCCCTTACCGGGGGGCTGCCTGACAGCCACAGGCTCTTTTCTCCTGTGCAGAAGGCCTTTAAATGAAAGGATCTTGAGGTTTTATCTGGTCTCAATCAACAAAGAGATCTGTGCACTGACCCCTGGTTTTTGGACCCGAAAGGACCTTGATGAAGAATGATTCTAGTCCCTTCTTTTTCTGGACCTACCAGGTGAGCGACAATTTACAGCCTGATTGATTTTGCTTTGCCCCAAACATGCTCTCAACAGTCATATAGCCTCAGCAAGAGAAAGACCTGGATTTAGGTCCGAGGAGTTGAGTTCAACAGCTGTGTCCTCTTCTTCCTTCTTGGAACCCCCAGTGATCTCAAGGACAGCCCCAAAAGACAACTTCCTGTCTTTTGTGTTTGTACAATGATGTTGTAATCTATTGTGTGATTCTTTTCCAACATAAGTATACATTTATGGTGCTATACTTAAAACACTCATTTTTAAATCCAAGAACAGTGACACACTTCAAGAGCAACATTTAAAATGTTTCTCCCCTACCTTTAATAAATGCATATCTATTTTAAAGTGCATTTCACATGTGATCCTAAGCCTCTGGGGTAGTTAATCCCCAGTTTACAAAGCAGCGACCTGCATGATTAGAGGGTGATTGCTCCAGGATGGAGACAAAGCCAGTGACCTTGGCAATGGGTCAGCCAAGTGGAGTTGAGTGATTTCCAGGTCAGGACTCAGGAAGATGCACTGCCAAAGAGAGCTCTTCCCACTATATTTTCTTGGCTTGATGATGCCTGAAGTGGTTCTTATTCAGCCCACGGTGCCTGTTCGTATAAACACTAAGGACAGTGGTTTAGTTTCAAATTTCGTTTGAAGAGATTTACACCGTTCAAAGGTTAGGGATGAAAATACGATTGCCTTCCTTAATAGCTTTTAGGATTATAATTCTGGGGAAGATGAAGCATTTAATTCTAAAAAAGCAACAAAAATAGTTAAGCCTTAACGTAATAGCATAGCCATGAATTTAACCTTTCAAACAATTTACGAAAGACGTTAGGCACGCTGCAGTGCCTCGATCTGTCAGACTCGTAGTGGCCCTTGCAAAATCATCGGCATTCCCCATGATCACAATTATCTTTCCTGACAGCCATTCTCAGATCTATTTGCTTGGGGCCCACACTTTCAATGTATATTTTTTTACCTTAATAGACTGAACAAGGAAACTCAGAATATCTGAGTCTTGAGTATACTTGTCATGTGACTTGAAGCTTCTGTGCACGTTAATATTCTGATCTGGGGTTTAATTCTCATCTGTGTGTCGACCAAGTGTTTTGGGCTGTATTGCAGCCCGCCACCTGTCAAATTCATGTGTTGAAGTCCTAACCCCCACTATCTCAAAAGGTAAGTGTAGATGAAGAGAAGGTCTTTCAAGAGGTAATTAAGTTAAAATTAAGTTTTTAGGGTGGGCTTTAATCCAGTGTAACGGGTGTCCTTATAAGAAGAGGAAATTTGAACATAGACGTGCAAAGGAAAGATCATGTGAAGATACAGGGAGAAGGCAGCCATCTCCAAGCCAAGGAGAGAGGCCTCAGAAGAAACCAACCCTGACAACACCTTAATCTTGGACTCTTAGCCTGCAGATCTGCGAGGAAATAAATTTCTGTTGTGTCAGACAGCCAGTCTGTGGTGCTTTGTTACAGCAGCTCCAGCAGACTAATACAGATGTTGGTACTGGGAGCAGGGCGCAGCTGTAACAAATACCTAAAAATATGGAAGTGGCTTTGGAACTGGGCAATGGGTAGAGGCTGGAAGAGGTTTTAGGTGTGGGTTAGAAAAACATAGATTGCCTTGAAGAGAGTTGATAGAAATATGGATGTTAAAGTAGCTTCTGGAGACGTCTCAGATGGAAAAGAGGACCATGTTATGGGCACTGGAAAGGCGATCCTTGCCATGAAGTGGCGATGGACTTGGCTGAATTGTGTTCTAGAGTTTTGTGGAAGATAGAACTTGTAAGTGATAAACTTAAATATTTAGCTGAGGACATTTCTAAGCAAAGTGTTGAAGGTGCAGCTGGTTTCTTTTGACTCCTTATAGTAAAATGCAAGAGGAGAGAGAGAAATTGAAAAAGGAATTTCAGCAAAAAGGAACCAGAACTTGAAGATCTGGAAACCTCTCAGCCCGTCCATACGGCAGCACACTTACACACTGCCTTTTACCTTATAGGGTGGCTGTGAGCACCAAATGCAGTAGGGTATGTAGACTGTATGTACTTAGAAATCATTAACTTATACAAAGATGAGATGCTATAATGTTATCACAGCCTTATATATTTTTATAGCTTCTTCATGGGATGGAGGGAGAGGAAAATTTCAGCATCATTATTTTTTTCACTGGAGATACTTGAGGTCTTAGAGAGACAAAGTGATTTATACAGTAATGTCATGGGGTGGCAGAACCTGGATTAGAGTCGAATCTTTAAAGTCTCAGTCCAGCGCTCTTTCTAATATAATGTTTTCTCATATCAAAGACTTCAAGACTTTCAGCAAATCAGATCAACAAGCATTTAATTACATACCCTGACCAGCACACGGCTAGAACTGGCGAGGAATACAAAATAAGCAGTAGGCATAGTCTTGTCTCCACATTATCCAGGAAGCGAAAAGTAAACATGTGCCTCAGCTAATAAACTACACAGCAATCTTGGGATAATAAATCTCTAGCTTTCCACGTTAATTGGTTAAGCTCTAATGGTAGGTTGGTGACCTCCCATAAAGTTTTTTGAAAAATAATAAATATAAGTTAGATTTAGAGTTTTAAAAGCTTTTCTTCTTTTTTGTTAGTTTGGCAGAGATGCAATTTTTTTCCTTATCATTTCTATGATTGTCTTGGAGGAAAAGGTTTTCAAATAGGAGGCTGACGTCACTGTCCACAGCTCCTGCCACACGTAAAAGGTTATGACGAGGAATGTTTGTGAATTTGGTCACTGATTTAATTAAAAGTGATCCCTAACATTAAAATGTTCCCAGGAAGAGTAAAAGTAGCATTTTGCAGATCTTGCTTTTGCAATCGTGAAGGGGTCTGGACGCTTGAGTTGTGGTGTCCACCTTTAGTACGACCCTCCCGGAAGCAGGAGTGTGGGAGCTTCCTGTGTACGAGATGTCTTAGGTGTTAATATCATGTCTTCCAGGGGTGGCCCAGTGGTGTAGTGTTTAAGTTTGTGCGCTCAGCTTCAGTGGCCTGGGGTTTGCAGGTGTGGATCCCGGGCATGGACCTACACATCACTCATCAAGCCATGCTGTAGCGGCATCCCATATACAAAATAAAGGGGATGGGCACTGATGTCAGCTCAGGGCCAATCTTCCTCACCAATAAAAAATAAAAATAAAAATTCTGTTTTCCCCTTTTACACAAAAGTAAAAGCCTTTGCAAAATAATAATAACGAGGAGGAGAAGAAAAAGGAGAAGAGATGGGAGAGATGTGATGGACACCTGGAAACCCTTCTCATCTTGTTGACAGTTCACCAGCTGTACAAACATTTACCTCCAAGACAGTGTCTACATGAGTTATGCCAACTGACTAATCTTAATGGAAACTAATGTTTTTTATTAAAAAAATATGTTTGGACACACTCCCACAACATATAACTCACTGTTTTATTTTCTCACGAATCTGCTTTAAAGAAGATCCTCAGATAGCATGACCCCAGAATGCAGTTCTGGGAGGTGGAATGGAAATGTAATCATAATCCATAATTTAGAGGAGTCCAATGGTGAGTTATTTTGTGAAGTGTAGAATTTTTCCTAGGTGAAGAATTTCCCTCTCATTTCTGATTTGTAAGGTTGGGTTTTCATGGTTTGATTGTCTCAAAGTGGGAGACATAAATCAACATGTGACGGCAAAGCTCCATGTGAGCACTGAGCAGGGCCCTCCAGAAGAGTGAGACTGTCTGATCCTGCCCAGCCATCTCCACGCGTGATGCTCCCATGGCACGGACAGTGACACGCCTCAGGTCGTGTAAAGAGAGGCCGTGTTAGATGCGCTGCCTATGCCATCGCATGATGCCGCACACACAGCCTAGGGGTCCCAGTACTGGGATGAGAAGCTACTTCCTAAAAACAAGTTGTTCACATAATCAGCTCACGAACCCTGTCCTTTTCTTTGACTCTAAAAAAAAGTGTACTATCCATCCATTCCTAAGGTGAATTAGCTAAGACTTTACCACCCCTCCTTCAGGCTTTCGTTTTTCTCTTTTAAACTTCCTTTCATATTCTTATTTATCTAGTTGCATGTGTGTCTATATTTTGTAGAGGCTGTATATGTGTGTGTGTGTCTTTATGTGTTATATGTGTGTTTGTGTATCTTTGTGTGTGATGTGTGTGATGTGTGTGTGTATGTGTTTCTCTGTGCCCTTTTCATTCCTCCCCTAAGTGGCCACGCCCAGATTTCCTCCCTACTCCTTCAGATAAACACAAAAACCTTTGGGTAATACCAACAGTAGTAGCAGCTAACATTTATATGGAGCTTTCTATGTGTCAGGCAACTCATCCTCTTTCTATATATCCACTAATTTAATCCTCATGATTACCTGTAAAGTTGGAACTAGTGGCCCCGTTTTACATATGAGGACACTGACACATAAACTCTTGTAAATAAATCCAGGGAAATGAAATAAACTGTCCCTCAAAAACACTCTCTGCTTAGGCTCACATACGTTGGTATATTTGTGTGTGTGTGTGTGTGTGTGTGTGGAGAGAGAATGTAGAGAGAGTAAACATAGAAGATGGTTTGCACAACTTCCCGTCAACTCACCTTATTCCACTGCGTCCTTCATATGTCTTTATGAGCCTGTGGCTTTCTTTCCCTCCTTCCTCCAACACAGTCGACCGGAAGAGACCACGGTGGTGAGCTGACCCGCGCACAGAGTGTCAAGGTGACCTTGGCACCCAGGAATCCCGTTAAAATTTTCCTTCAGGTTCTTTTCAGGCTGGAGACTGGAAACTTGCAGGCTGTGACCTAGTTAACCACAAATCTCCGTGGTACATTACTGCCACCTAGCGATGATCTATTGAAACACGGACTCCAGACGCGGCAAAACCAAGAACAAAGTAAAACGAAACGTAACCCCTGCCCCTGACGGGAAGCTGGCTGTTTCCGTCTGAGCCTTTTGGACCAGAGACATAATGGACTTTACCACCAAATGCCTTTCCCCAAGATGCCTGACGTCCCATTTCTGAAAGTGTATCATCCAATAAAATTATTAAAATTAAAAAGCTCAAGTTTGGCAGCTCTCAAAATAAGGAAGAAGCAGGGGGAGAATGAGAGAGGGAGAGAGACAACATGTTTTGAAAAAATGAAGCTTTGCAGTTGTATCCATCATTTGACACATGAGGAAACTGAAGCTCCAAGAAATAACAGATTTCCCCATTTCCAAGAGCTGGTAAGTGGTGCCGGCAAGATTGGCTACAGGGTTTGTCAGGTCGTTTATTCCAAAATGAACTAATCACACTGAATTGATAGAAAATTTAGAATTTCTTCTCAATAAATGGTTGGTGGCCTTTCGCTGCTTCACCTGCCCTACCCGCAGGCCTGGGAAGGGTGTGCCAGTGTCCTGTTCTGTTCAAAGATCACTGTCGGTGAAACCTGTGGGATTCAAGGTTATTTCCCCTGGAGTGTTGGGTTTACTCTGCTCTGTGCGCATCCTCCCCCAACAGCACATGCTTGTCAGATGGCACCCGAGGTCAGAGGGAGAAGGCTGTGATGGCAGAAGTGGGTGACGATGCTGATCTGCTGGGGAAAGTACCACACATAGGGCCTCACTAACACCGTGTTCTAAACCACCACTTCTCACCCTGGGAGGCAGGAGGAAGCTGCGCCTTTCAGGTAGAGACGTGACCAAGAGGGAGGGACGGACAGAAAGGAGAGTCTCCTTAGGCAGGCGTTTGTGATGTTTCTTGTGAAACCTATGAACCCATTCCTAGAATAACACCTTCAAATGCATAAAAGGAAAGAGACAGGATTATAAAGGAAAGCCATTATGTGTAAACAAAGTTATCACATTCTTTTAAAATGTGTGATATTATATTGTCTGTGTGTCTCAGCTAGGGCTGCCATAACAAAATATCACAGACTGGGTGGCTTAAGCAACACACATTTGTTTCTCACAGTTCTGGAGGCTGCGAGTCTGAGATCAAGCTCCCAGCAGATTCGGTTCTTGGTGAGGGCTTGCTTCCAGGCTTGCAGACGGCTGCCTTCTCGCTGTGTCCTCATAGGGCAGAGGGAGAGCCCTGGTGTCTCTTCTTGTTTTTATAAGGGCATTAATCTTCTTGGAGGCTCCACCCTTGTGACCTCATCGAAACCTAATTACCTCCCAAAGTCCCCGCCTCCTAATGCCATCACTTTGGGGTTTAAAGCTTCAGCATGTGAGTTTTGGGGGCATGCAAACATTCAGTCCATAACACTGTGCCTCTTTATTGACACATGAGATAACCAGCTCTGGTGGCAGACCTAATAATCACCACACGTGTGAC